TCCCACAAACAGTCGTGAATTGAAGTGACCCAATTTATTACTGTTTTTTTTCTTGAGGGATTATTATCAGGCGTGTGGAATAAGGAAACTTGCCCAACGTTTCACCCTGCCCGGAATCAAAGCCAGGTCTCTTGCTTGCGAGGCGAGTGCTCTAACGACTGAGCTACAGGACTCCTATTTGTTTGATCTGTTTGTGTGACCGCTCCTACGGTCATCTTCCCCCTCCCCCAGCTCAATAGGATCATTTCTCGGAGCACTAAAACTGTTAAGCTTGCTTTTTCTAACGTAAAGATTTTTTTAAGACTAAAGGTGTTTCCACAAATCCAAATCGGAAGCTCTTTACCTGAATTGTTAATGCTGGTAACCAATGATTACCTATACAAAAATAAAGAAAGGAAGAACGAGTTGGCGTCAATATTGTGGGTGTAACCCAATTTTCTGCTGGTGGTATTTGCCAAATTATTTGACATTCATTCTAAATTGCTACAGTAAATACCTTTCACGTCAGAATTAAATTCCTGGGGTCATTCAGTGACACACATCCACATGACACTCCTATTGATTTTCTCCAATAACTTCTTGAAGCAACATCCCAATGTCAAAACAAAATCTAAAGATACAGATAAGATGCATCATCACACCATAAGGAATTTCTCCTGGTGAGCTGGCCCAGACGGAATCAGTCGTTCACTTCATGGCTGTTTTGAAACAGTGCTGCATGCAAGTTGGCCTCCGCATTCACCTGGACACTTCACAATAAAACCTTGTCAAGCAATTTGAGACCTTTCAACGATGTGATAAGGCACTATATCAAATGCTAGCATTGTAAGGATTATTATTATTGTATCGGTAGTTTTCACTGGATTATAATTATCCTGCAAAAATGCAATGATTAAGGCTTTTCATCAAGGGTCAGAATGCAGTTTTGGCAAAAAGATTCAAACGGACTCGGAAATATCAAATCTTACAATTAAATAAATGTGAAATATTGTGGCGTGGCCCATGGGAGCTGTGTTCCAACATGGCTAGAAAGTGTTTGTGTCAAAGAGCTGAGTTCCTGTACGTCAACTCGACACATGTGGTTTCAGGGTGATTTCGATATTTACAAATTCGTGTTACAAGAACAGTATTTTTAACCCTTCTGTGTTCCTGTGGTCTTAGCGCTGATGAAACGTGCATATCAGTAGTTAGGTCAATTCTCTTAATGAAACTGAGCCATACGGGTCACTTAGGTCTCAGATCTGAACAGTAGTTTGCACTGAATTAGTTGATGGAGGCCAGGTCTCTCTTTGAGGCCCCTGGCTAGAGTGGAGTCGGGCACTGGGGAAGATATATTAACCAGGGTTTCTAGTTCCTACTCAAGATCAGTATTCACTGACCCATGTTGGAAGGTTTCCATTGGTGTATGGATAAACAAGCTAGGACAAAATTGGGCTTGACTGAGATGCTCTCTGCAGCTGAATAGCCGATTAACACTCACTGTCTAGACAGGTATATTAGGAGTCCTGTAGCTCAGTGGTTAGAGCACTCGCCTCACAAGTGAGAGATCGATGTTTGATTCCCAGCAGGGCAAAACCTTGGGCAAGTTTCCTTACTCCACATGCCTGATAATCTCTCAAGAAAAAAACAATAATAATTTGGTCACTTCAATCCACAACTGTTTGTGGGACACTGCTGTGCGCAATTGGCTACCGCGTTTCACCAACAAAATATACAATCAGTTCACTTTACAGTATAATCTGTGAAGCGCTTTGAGACATCTAGAAGATGTGAAATGTGCTATATCAAATGCAAGGAATATTATTATTAAGAGTGTAAGATATCAGAGGGTGACCAATGGCCATGGAACACATTATCCTACAGGTGTCAACACTTCCAGGGAAGGTCTGGGGTTGAAAATTGCAGAGGAATGCAAAAAAAAGCAACAATAGGGACCAGAAACTGTACTCAGCAGTGGCGTGCAACAAACAACAGATAAAATAAATATCATTGTAAATTCAACACATGCTGCTATCAAAATTCATCAAAAAAAATGATAATTTGTGGTCATTTTTCTCACTGCTGTTTGCTGGTTCCATTGCCTTGTTTGTCTAAATTATTTATTATTATTAAATTGCAACAGCAAGCGTGGTAATGTGCTTATCATATTAATGTTGCTTCAGAACGACCACTTCTATGTTTCTCCCATTTATTTTGGTGAAAATCTGTTAAAAAAATTGTGTGTATTATCTTACCTGCCTCTTGACCCAAAGGAAAGAACAGTCCGCAGAGAGATTTGATTTGTAAAATTGACTCTAAGTGCACTATGAACGTGGACTATGGCCATGTAAAACGTGAATGAACCAAAGTTTTATTCATGCAAAGAACTTCCCCACAGCTCAGACACAAAAAATTCACCACAGCTCGGATACATTGGTCTTTTCTAATCTAACATTTCTTATGTTCTTATTTTAGGAAATAACATTATGGGATATAGTACATAGGTAGTTTGTGACATATGTGCATGCAACCCCCAGGAAGGTGGAAGGCGAACTAGTTGGACCTTAGTCTTTTTTCGTCCAGCATTTCTTATGTTCTTAAAAGCTCCAGGAAAATACTTAAAATAAAGTATGCTGGACAAATCTCCAATGCAAATGGGCAAAAGGGAACTTGTACCAAGTTCTGAAAAAAGAACTTGTAGTATTTATCCACATTAGAGAGGTGCCCAGTGGAATAATGCCAATACTCTCTGGTGTCCACTTCAATAAGAATTAATTCAGGGGAAATATTTCAGGATAATCTCTATTCTAAACTCTATTAATGCAAAACATATTTAAAAATATTTTTAAAACATTTGATATAGCGCCTCATCACATCGTTCAGACGTCTCAAAGCGCTTCACAGAATATACTGTAAAGTGAATTGACTACATTTTGTGGGCGAAACCCGACAGCCAATTGCGCACTGCAGTGTCCCATAAACATTTGTGCACCAAATTATTATTATTATTTACATACTGAAGGTAATATTAACCCTGGAAGACAACTAACTAACCAATCGACTAACTTACTCGCTTTGCAAGTGAGAGACCTGAGTTCAATTCCAGGCAGGGCGAAACCTTGGGCAAGTTTCCTTACTCCACACGCCTAATAATAATCCCTCCAAAAAACCAAAAACAATAATTAAATTGGTCATTTTCAATCTACGACTGTTTGTGGGACATTGCTGTGCGCAATTGGCTGCCGCGTTCGCCCACAAATATACAGTCAATTCACTTTACAGTGTGTTCTGTGAAGCGCTTTGGGACGTCCTCCTGACGTGAAAAGCGCTATATCAAATGCAAGGATTATTATTATTATTATTATTACAGATTCCTACTTGCTGCTTGGAAAACACAGAAGCTTGTGGAGTAAAGAAACTTCCCTAAGGTTATGATTATTAATTATTATCAATAATTATGAATTAATGCGAATGAGATAATCCACACATGTACATCTGCATGATTAAGTGTGATTATTGAAGACAGCGAGTGTGGACAAAATAACCAAGGTCCTTGCTTTTCCTTATCTGGTGAACCTTTATAAATCTTGAAGTTAATTTTATCAAAGGATTATACATTACTGGATGTGTTCCATTGGAAACGGCTAACTGTAATCGACAGTAAGGAAGCAGTGAAAGCTGAAATCACCAACTGTGTAAATGCAACCTTGTCAATGCTTGCTTATCCATTTGTGTTATAACCTCAAAGCATTCAATCCAAAGCAAGCCACTGTACTGGACCTAATAAAATATCACATTGTTCTAAAAATAAATGCTCCATACAGTTCCACAAAGCAACTAACCTGCATGCTAGATCCACAACGAACATGATCAGGGGTAATTCCAGCAGTATACATCAGAGGATACACTATAGGTGTTTAAGGACAAGCTGGTGCTGCTCTATCATCTTAAATTTGCCAAATTACAGCTTCGTATTATAACCTGTGAAAGATGGCTTGTCGCTACTTCAAATAAACTTTGCTTCTTTAAAAATCATCTCAGTTCCCAGAAAAACAAATAAAATGGAGTGAATGTCATTGACAGATGCTATTTTTATAGATGTTTTGACATAGCATCATGCAATTGCTTTGTATTACGGTGTTTATATGACAAGTGCACACTTCCAAACCACAACCTGGCAGCTGAGGCAGACAATTATTGGCCTGACTGGCAGGATCCATTCCTCTACAGCTGTTATAATTTTAGTAATACAACCGGAAAGCCGTCCACAAGGATTACGGTCTCTCTAAGGGAAGAGAGACAAACTGGGAAAAGCTTGGCTTTAAAATGAGCTTACTCCTGTCACATTAATCCACATCTGCCTTTGCAAACACAATGATTACAAATCACTCTCCTATAATCCTGGCTGTGCAGCATTCACACAGTTGGAAATATTTAAACGCACCTATGACATGTCTCAGACTACATTGCATGTAGTAGCTTGTATTGGATTAACTTGTTGAAACTATTAACTTACTGTGAGAAAATTAAAGAGCACCAGGACTTAACTTGCAAGGCTGCTTCTACTCGACTATGATATGAAGAGGTATCCTTTTGTTTAGATAACATAACTTGCATTCACAAACAGATCTGCACCTCTTTGTATCTGGATTCCTGGAAGGGTGCAATTCTTTGCTGCAGATACACTGAAGTGATTGAAGTAGACTTCTATGCATGAGGCACAAAGGTACAATATTGAAGATATAGAGTACGGGCCAGCAACTTGACACAAATTTACCACATGGATAAAATGCTGATGTGAAGGGGTGTCTTTTAATGCAAACAGAGTACAGTACTGACAGCGTAATATTGCAGAAGGCAAATGTGAAACCAGATTGTGAAACCAGCCAAATTCTGATCACTCACATGTTTCAAACTTTTACACAATGATCGCCCAGAACTTGAATCTTGAAGATTAGTATTACATCTCAGCAGCTTGCATTTTTCTAGTCCGAAGGTTTTGTAAAGCAGCACGGTCTTACCTTATTGGATGCCATTTCACTGACAGAATTCCTGGTCTGCAGGGTCTCCAACTGGTCCAGGCACCAGTCAAGCTCCTCCAGGGTCTCAGTTGCAAGTTTTTGGTAGGCCTCCTCTGCGAATAAACAGATGAATGGGCATTCAGCTTTCGAATGTGCTACAGAGCTAGCATGGATATCAAAAGGGTCCTCCATGCCACACAAAGCCATGTCCTGATGACAAGAGCTCACACATGAGCTGTCCTTCATAGTGTTTCTAAGAAGGTAAAACACCTCGAAAAATATGCTTTCTCCGTCAAGCTAAAGTCACCGCTACAGCTTCGATATTCTCTGCTGCACAAGAAAAAGAACTGTTGTGTGACCCTCAGAGTTCAGTCAGACACACAACGTGCTGAGTGAAGAATTCTTTCTTTGTGCAGCTTTATATCTGAGGGTATTATTCAACCCAGAAATGAACAAACGTATTCAGTCTGTAGTACTTTCCATAAAATAACTCGATGCCTTTATCCTCATCCAGGTGGTTGAGTCAATTTCTTATCGCCCATGAAAACTGCTCCATGACGATTTGAAACAAATTACTTTAAACCATTCCAGAACCGCATGTTTCAAAGCATAAACCCGCCAATGAAGTCCTCTCAATGTAGTCATTTATAAAATATGCATTTCTCTGGTAATAATAACTGGGTTCACTGTTTTTTTCTCTCAGCTTCACTTTTATCAGCCAACGTGCTCACTAAGAAATTCTGAACCAGTTTCATCTTCGTAGTACAGTACTTGAGTCAGTTAGTTGATTCTTTCTTATATGGCATCACACAAGTAAAACAAAATCTGCCTCTTCCTTTGAACCACAAACCAGAACTATTAGTACATTGCACAAGGCTGTGCTGAGCACAAATCCTGGCGTGGATTTAGGCGGATTTGCTTCTGGCTATCTACCAGCAGGAGAACAAACCCTATTCAGCTTTCTAAGAAATTACTGCGGCGATAATTTCAGGGTTCAAAATATTAATGGATACAGTGTGTGAAATTTCTAACGTAGAGCTTTTTTTTAAGATTAAGTAGAATTTCAAAGCAAATAATGGTGAAGTGCATTGTAGCAATTTTCGCATGATAAAGATAGGATTTTATATGGCTCCAGGAACCCAGCTCGTTTTTCTACTAAATGGAACAAATCAGAATAAAAAGGCTGAAAACAAAACAAAAAAAAGTATAATATTAGTCTGGTATTCCTCATGTTTAATCCGGAATGTACAAGCCACTGATGTTTTGTAACTTTGCAGAAAAATGTGTTTAAAATGTCTTTCAGTGGAATTGGCTGCAGATTTCACAACTGCCTGAGCTCCAACAAAGGATGTGGGTTTTGCAGCTGACTCCCAATTGGGTCAATTCTTTATTTTGATTGTGGAGGGGTGCAGGCTGGATGATGAGAGTCGTGCAGTCGCGCTGGGCTGGTCAATAAAAAAGTAATAAAAAATAATTCTTGTATTTGACATAGCGCCTTATTACGCCTTCGAGACGTCTCAAAGCACTTCACAGAATATACTGTAAAAGTGAATTGACTATATTTTGTGGCTAAAGTACGTCAGCCAATTGCGCACAGCAGTATCCCACAAATAGTCATGGATTGAGTGACCCATTTTTTTTGAAGGACTTATTACTCCCGGAAAAGTGATCTGCCAATTGATTAACAACCAGACTCCTACTTACTGCCAGATAAACAGAGGCGTGTAGAGTAAGGAAACTTGCCTAAGGTTTCGCCCTGCCAGGAATCGAACCCGGATCTCTCACTTGCGAGGTGAGTGCTCTAACCACTGAACTACAACACTCCACATATATCCTACCATCTGGAAAGGCATTAGAAATATAGAAGTTTACCGTACAGAAGAAGGCCATTTGGCCTGTACTGGCTCACAGAGCCTTATCGCCCCCATACCTCCTCAAGCCCCTCTCTCATATGTCTGTCTACTTCCCTCCTGAAAACTGCAATAGAAAGCTCCAATATACTTGGCAGTGCATTCCACATCCCAACCACTCTCTGGGTGAAAACAATCTTCTCCTTTCACTCTTTCACTGTGGAATCCGGGCACAAACCTGTACACACAGTGCGCTAGGCCCCGCTACAAACCTGTACACACAGTGCGCTAGGCCCCGCTACAAACCTGTACACACAGTGCGCTAGGCCCCGCTACAAACCTGTACACACAGTGGTCTAGGCCCCTCTACAAACCTGTACACACAGGGTCTAGGCCCCTCTACAAACCTGTACACACAGGGTCTAGGCCCCTCTACAAACCTGTACACACAGGGTCTAGGCCCCTCTACAAACCTGTACACACAGGGTCTAGGCCCCTCTACAAACCTGTACACACAGTGGTCTAGGCCCCGCTACAAACCTGTACACACAGTGCGCTACGCCCGGGGTCTCTCGCGCTGTTTGCTTGATGCTGCTACTGCGGGCAGAGCGGCTCTGGTTGCGGATGCGCGGGAATGTGTCGGGATCATGGAAGCAGCACGAGCAGGAAATCGGCTTCGCCCAGCGCCGCGGCCTAGACTGAGCTCTTGCGACCAATTCTCGGTAAGTGCTGTACTATTCGCATTAAACGTTTTAGTATTTGGAACATAACTACATGTTCAAGAAATACTTTTTTTTTGAAAAGGTACTCTCTTTATTCAGTAAAATTAATATGTGTATATTTATGGTCATTATATGTAATACATATAAAATATTATTAGGCAGAATGAAATGAACCATCCACTATGCAACAGGTAGATTGGGAAATTATATTTCTGTAAGAAAATATTCATATTTGCCCCCTTTCTTTTGGCTGAATTATAAATTATTATAAATAATTATAACTTATACTCAATTATAAATAGGAACCATGATCTTCACATGTTAATAAATGCCACGCTTCTTGTAAGCAACACACCCTTCAGTGGTGGTTAACCACTGAATTCCTGTAATTATTCATCTCTTTCATATGCGTAACAGTGTGAACCTGGGGTTTTATTTTGATAACAGGTACTTTTTCAATGTGTCATAAAATAAATTGCTGTGTAATTTCAAGTTTAATGCTTCATTAGAGCAAGGTTTTACAGAAACACACCACCTTTAACAAGTCTTTTTTGTTGTTTGTGTTTCCTTTTAAATGTATTTATTATGCAAACTGCCTTGCAACAAATTGAAGCGGAAATTCAACGAGTCTGCAGCAATCCAGCTCAGCTGTGTACAAATTGAACAAGACATAATCTGGCCAGTCGAATACAACTGGTTTAACAACGTTTCCAGCAAGCATCCTTTTCACTTTGTTTATTGCTGCCTCACACTGTTCGGGCATGGTGAGCAAGACAATGGACTCATTTAAAAAGCAGCTCGATGCTGTGGCAGGAGGACGATGGGGTGGGTGTTCTGGAAGGATGGCCTGAAGGGACTTCTTCATCCAAACCAATCTTGTGATATTATGAACACACTAACTAACAACTCAACTTTTTTTCAACATCCTTCCTATTTCTTCCATGGAGAATGTGCACCGCTTATTTTTGCTTTTTCTCAGTAAAACAACGCATTTATAGTATCTACATATTTTTGACTCAAAGTTGCCTGAGATCAGCCAAGGTTGATATCTTATCGAGCTCAATATCTTATCAGGCTGTCTTTATCAGATGTTGGCTGCCCCCTCTGCTTCTTCAGTTTCCCCTAACGTGCTGTCACCTGCAACTTTAACTTGCATGGAGTCTGCAAAGCTAGATCATTTATGTAGGAGGAGGAAGGGTCGCAGCACATACTCGTGGGACGTCCCCATTTAATGGGGTTATAAAAAACAACAAAATAAGCCTCTAAAGACAGGAAAACCACTGTGAGTCACACTGACACTTTCTCAGGACGTCAGCTTCGACGTGATCTTGTATCAGAATTGAGATCTTGTTGGTCAATGTGGCATACATAGGCTTTCTAGATAAAGTTTGTTACAAGGCACTTTTTCTAACAGCTAGGGGACAGTAATACTGCAGCTTTTCCGAGTAGTGGTTTTCCATCCCAAAACCAACCCCGATTTCCTCCCCATGTCGACCTATCTTCCCCTTCAATTACCCAGAGGCTTTGATCACCTTCTGCTTCATTCCTTTTAACCAGTTACTAGTGCGTATCCATCTTTTACCCTTGATGTCAAAGTGATTCGTGTTTTGGATGATGCATTTCATTTTTGGACAAGAAATTGGCTTATTTCTGTGACTGAATTGCAATCTTAATGGAAATCAAAATAAACTCTTGGGTTTGTTTACACACTATTTTATCTACAGGAAGACTGGAACTGCTAGAGAGTGAATTGGCTTCACGCTGAATCAAATGCAATGGCCACAATACCTATTTTTTAACTCTAGTACAGGTAAACTTGCATAAGTCATCTTGTTATAAATCGACTAATCACCTAAGTCATACATTAACTTGAGTCCCATTCAATTTCCTACTTAAGATTTCTTTGCACTAGTTGTATTTACAATTTGGATAGATTACGTCGTAACTGCTTCTTGGTCCCAAATAATCCTAATGAAAATCATCTCCCAACTTGTATTGCAACTACCCCACTTACCTGCTGTACTGATGAAGAACTGCATGCACAGTGCTGTGCTTGACACAAGTGTGGGAAATTATCACTGCTTTCACACTTGCTGCTGCATTGATGGAAGTACTGTATGCGCATTGACTGGTTGCACTGATAAAATAACACATGCGTAGTGCTGCATTTGAAACAAGGTCTTGAACCGTCATCATGGTGTTGACATTGTAAAGGCCCAAAGACAAGTATTGTACTTATTCTTTGCTTAAGAATATCTAGTTAGTCGACAGGTAATGTAGAAAAATTTTTTAACAAAAGAGGCACTGGTTTTGAAGGCACTAATGTGGTGTCACATTACATCCCATAATTTCACGTAAGTCGTATTAAGTCAGACAATAATACTTATGGGAGTTTCCCATAACTTGTACTTTGCATAAATCATATTAAATATTTTGGTCCCAACTGATACGACTTATGTGAATTTACGTGTAATAATAATCAGGCAGCCAGTTTTGAGGCAATCTCGGATCGGGAAGCACAGTCTCTGAAAGTAGTACTTC